GAGAAAGGAGGGAGAGGTAGAGGAGAACAAGAGAGAGAAAGAGGAGGAGAGAGGAAGAGAGAGGACGCGATCGCAGGAGAGAGAGAAAAGAGAGAGAGCATGAAGAGATGAGACGAGATGAGAAAAAGAGACGAGAAAGAGCAAGCGCGAGAGCGCACGCAGGAACAACGGTGGCTTGTCTCGATTTCATCCCTTGCACTCGTTACTATATTTGCAATTTTATCTTTACAGTTCCTGCGCTACAAGTCGTCGCTTCCAACCGACCTACACGAGGCAATCGTCAAGGACATGCTGACTGTCATCGACGACAACTCCCATTACAAATTCGAAGGACTTACCGATTGATGACGACCCGGTTTAATATGCTTCTCCACGGAAGATGGAAAGCCACTGTTTCGCGAACTTTCGTCATGGTCGAGCGCCACAGCCCGACATAGTCAGAACGCCATGCGTGCACGTGGAGTCGCCATCTTGTATATGACTCGCCAACGCTGACGTCACACGCGAACAGCACTTGCCGCCGCTTCAAAGCACAGTGCGACGCGTTCTGGTAAGTGTGATGGTCAGAAAATCGCGCTAACGGCCAACACCTCTATTTTCTTTTCTCGAGTCATCGCTTGCGCCACAGATTTTTGCATAATAAAATCTCGTGCGCGAATCACATCGCGAGAGTTGCCCGTCTTGATACGAACAATGTTTCATAGCAATTGCTTGATCGGTTAAGCTTCATCCTACCGCTATAACACACTGTCAATGACAATAAACCCCTACCTTCACCCCGATCGGCACTGAAGTCATAATGACCCAAAACGCCATCTCCTCCAACATCGTATTCAAAGCAATAAATCTCGTGCTGCCTCCCGGCCATTCACGCTAATCAGCCTCGTCTTCGACCGCAGTCCTTTCTGCGATTTATTTGAGTAGTCTGAAGCGTTATCACCTGCAGGCCCCTAGAGCGCAAACTTCAAGACAAGTGCAACCGCTCGCAGCTCCCACACTCCGCTAAAATCTATCACACGTTGCATAATCGACGTTTGCCAACCACCTTGCGCGCAATGTCACGCCACATTTATCATTCCGCTCTGATACACGGCCATTTTACCTTGAACATTATTATTCACACCTTTTGAGCACTGCATTCCTATTTAATCAAACTTCAATTTCATTTTAGTCACAGTCATTTACCCTTTCTCACTGTCATTCGCCTTTGAACTTCTTGCATTTGTCCGGACAATTTTCTATCCACCTGATTTCTCTCGTTAGAGAGTGAGAGAGTGATGAGAGAGAGAGAGAGAGAGAGAGAGAGAGACAGACAGACAGAGAAAGAAAGAGAGAGCGCGCGCGAGAGAGAGAGAGACGGACGGACGGACGGACGGAACGGACCGGACGCGACGACGCGGACGGACAGACAGACAGACAGCGACAGACAAAACAGCACAGACAGACAACAGACAGACAGACCAAGACAGACAGCACAGACAGACAGACAACAGAGGACGATGCAGAGAGAGAGAGAGAGAGAGAGAGAGAGAGCGAGAGAGAGCGAGAATTCATCATCTTCTCATCGTCTTCATGCATCTCTCATCGTCCTTTGTTTAAAGTTCTCGCATGTAAATCTCTTTCTCGCTTCTTCTTTTTCTTCTTAACCTTCTTCTCCGCCTGCGCTCTACGTGGATGATGCTGCAGAGGGGAGTGATCATGACCCCGCGATCACACTACATGATTCAACCCGTGCCATCCTCACTCATCCGCCGACACCGCAGATCCACCGATGGAGCAGCAGCCGACGCCATCTTGGAAACATCTCACTTCCTCTACGAGGTAGAACCGAACGATATTCATTGTCCAGTCGGTAGGTATCATATCATATCTTCTATGTATATAAAGAGGGGTATGGGATAATAAGGACGTGGAGAGTGATAGAGCGAGGTAGCATGAGGGAGTGGATAAACGCCGGGGAAAGAGCCAGAGAGAAAGGCGGAGAGATAGAGTGGGAAGAGAGAAGGGTAGCGCAAAGAAGAGGGGAAGTAGTAAGAATGGAGGAGGAGAAACAGGGAGAGACAGAGACGAAGAGAGAAAGAGAGATGAATATATAAGATTGAGGCAGAGAGATAAGAAAGCAGAGAGCAGATGAAGAAAGAGAGAGAGAGAAGATGAAGAAAGCAGAGCAGATGAAAGATAGGAGAGAGAGAGAGCAGCATGAAGCAAAGAGAAGAAGAGATGAAGAAGAGGAGAGAGAGAAGCAGAGAGGCAGCACGAGAAGACGGAGAGAGAGAGAAAGCATGAAGAAGACAGAGGGCGCATTAGCCCACAAGGGTATACGATTTCGCGCGCCGTGCCGTGTGTGCGTCTGTGCTATGCGCCTGCGTGCGCGCATATATATATACTATATATATATATATATTATATATATATATATATATGTGGTGTGTGTGGTGTGTGTGTTGTTTGTCTCTCTCTCTCTCTCTCTCTCTCTCTCTCTCTCTCTCTCTTTCTCTCTCTCTTTCTCTCTGCGCATCTCTCTCTCTATTTTTCTCTTGCTATCTCACTCGCTCTCTCACACCCCATGCGCACTCTCCCCACCCGACCCACGACCCCGTATTTGGCATATGCTACGCGCATTTGTCTAAAATCACATCAGCATCTATGCACCACAGCCAGTCACAGCGCGCGGGGCAGCGCAAGCGTGTAGCGGGCACGTGACAGGAAGCGCGTCTGCGTCAGCCTGCGCGCGCCGCGAAGCTGTCGACAGCGTATAGAACGAGAACTAGAAGCCCAACGTGCGCGAGTACTGCCACGCAGAATAAAAGAAAACTACGGAAACGTGGTTCGTCCACCTCCACCCCCCCCCTTTCTCGCTCTTTCGCTCTCTAAGTCGCATGTGATTTTGGTGATTTGCAGGACTATTGTTGCTAGCATCGTGGTCGCGTGCACGCGGGCAGGGCGCACCCACGCACGCGCGCACGAACGCAGCCCGGTTCAAGGTTTGTGATCAACACTACATATATATATATATATACGCTGACCATCGCACACACCAGATACAAACACCGCCACACACACGTGCGCACACTTCCTCATGAGGAGTTTGTTCACCTCGGATGTCTGACGAAAAAACAGAAGCTTCCTCGATAGTTTAACAAACGTATAAAATCGAACAAGCGTATCGATCAGGCGTGTATAATCGAACGTAAGTAATTGAACTGGCATATCGAACGCATGCAATCGAACCCTGTGCATCAAACGTGGCATGTCATCGAATGAGTGTGTCGATCAGATGTGTACATAATCGAACGTATATAATTGAACCTGCGTATCGGATGTACGTAATCACTTACATGTAATCGATCACAGTTAATCGATCGTACGTTTATCGAACACGCGAACATATCGATAACGACGACAACGTCGACGCACGCCACGTCACGTCCACGTCACGGCTACGTCCCGTCTACGTCACGCACGATGTCGCGCCGACAGCAATTCTTCGGTCGTCCGTCGTCGCCAGTCCAATCGTCGCCGACAGACGTGCCGACGTCGCCCCCGCAGTGTCGACGACCCGTCAAACGCGCACGCGGCTGCGCAGACAGCGACGCCCTGCTGCTGCTGCTGCTGAGGGCGCCCCCACGCGGGAGGAGGTTAATGGATGCTGTGCAGTGGTGCGGCATTGTTCAGCAGTCGCTGCAGAGCGACGAAAATGCAAGAAGTTCAAAGGCGAATGACAGTGAGAAAGGGTAAATGACTGTGACTAAAATGAATGAAGTTGATTAAAATAGGAATGGCAGTGCTCAAAGGTGCTGAAAATAATGGTTCAAGGTGAATGGCCGTGTATCAGAGCGAATGATAAATGTGCGTGACATTGCCGCAAGGTGGTTGGCAACGTCGATTATCAACGTGTGATAGATTTACCGGCAGTGTGGGAGACTGCGAGCGTTCACTGTCTGTTTGCGCTCTAGGGGCCTGCAGTGAATAACCTTCAGACTACTCAAAAATTCGCAGAAAGGACTGGCGGTCGAAAGACGAGCTGATTAGCGTGAATGCCGGAGGCAGCAACGAGATTATTGCTTGAAATACGATGTTGGAGGAAGATGGCGTTTTGGGTCCATTATGACTTCAGTCGATCGGGGGTGAAGGTAGGGGTTATTGGTATTACAGTGTGTTATAGGTTAGGATGAAGCTAACGATCAGCAATTGCTATGAAACATTGTTCGTATCAGACGGCAACTCTCCGATGTGATTCCCACAGAATTTATTATCAAACATCTGTGCCAAGCGATGACTCGAGAAGAAAATAGAGGGTGTGCCGTTAGCGCGATTTTCTGACCATCACACTTACCAGACCGTCGCACGTGCTGACGGCGGCAATGCTGTTCGCGTGTGACGTCACGTTGGCGAAGTAATAACAAGATGGCGACTCCACGTGACGCATGCGGTTCTGACTGATGTCCTCGTGGCGCTCGACCATGACGAAAGTCGGCGACAGTGGCTCCATCTTCCGGTGGAGAAGCAATTCAAACGGCTCGTCATCATCGTGAAGTCCTTCGAATTTGTAATGGAGTTGATCGTCGATGACGTCAGCATGTCGCTTGACGATTCCTCCGTGTAGGTCGGTTGGAACGACGAGCTTGTACGCAGGAACTGTAAAGATAAAATTGCAAATAAAGTTAGCGGTGCAAGGGATGAAATCGAGACAAGCCACCTTGTTCCCTGCGTGCGCTCTCGCGCTCTCTTTCTCTCTGCTTCTTTATCTCCCTTAAGATTCATGAACTCACAACGCCCACTCACGATTTCAGATCAGTTCGCCCACGTGCACAACGATGACGCCACCATCGCGTGCCTGCTCGCAGCAGACGACCCCGGCCCGTCGGCTCGCTCACGGCAGCGACAGTGGCGACGACGCCTACGCTGACGATGTCGCGCGCGAGGAGGACGTCGCCGGACATGCGCTCGTCGACGCGCGTCGCTACGGTCGCCAGGACGACCGCCAGCCGAGCATCGTCGTTCACTGGGGGAAGCCCAGCTCAGTGGAAAGGCCGGGGAGAAGAAGCCCGCTGCAGCGATGGACAAGGCCCGCCAAGGACGATTGCGCCCTCTGGCGGAACGCGAACGAAGAACTCGTGCGAGAGGAGAGAAATCGCCGGGAGAACCCAGACCCGCCCGCGGAGAGCGAACCGGATCCGGATCCGGAAGCGAAACGGGAACCGGAACGCGCCCCCTACGAACAGCGCGCGTGGTTCGACGACTGCAGCGCCACCAGCGGCGACCGACGGTCGAGCAGCGACGCGTGTCGTCATCGCGGCGGCAGCGGCGGCGGCTACCTATCGTCATCGTCCGGAAGTGACGTCGACGCTGTCGCCACCGGCGCCGGTAACGATGGCGACATGACGTCGGCAGACGTGCGCATGATCGACCGACTGACGACAGAACTAGGGCTGCGCTACCTGCAGCATCTACCCGATCTTCAGTACGAGCTAGGATGGCTCTGACTGCGTGCGGCGCGGCGCCACCTGGCGGTGAGAGATGGAACTACTTCGCGTCAACCGTCCACGCGTGATCCGTCCGCGAAGGAGTACGCGCTCGCCGTCTACTCGAGGATCTACTTAGTTTAAGTGTGTAAATATAGTGCCAGACGTCGACGTTCCGCGTGCTGTCATTCGCCTGTCATTCGTCCGTCCCTCTGTCCGTCAATTTATCAGTCAGTCTGTCAGTCAGTCTGTCTGTCAGTCAGTCTGTATGCCTGTCTGTTCGTCCCTATTCACGTCTGTCTGTCCGTCAGTCTGTCTGTTCGTCAATCTATCAGTCAGTCTGTCCGTCAATCTATCAGTCAGTCTGTCTGTATGCCTGTCTGTTCGTCCCTATTCACGTCTGTCTATCCGTCAATCTCTCTGTCAGTCAATCTGTATGTCTGTCTGTCATCCAGACTCCAGTCTGTATGTTTCTACTTTCGTCCGTCTGTCAGTCTGCCTACCTGTCCGTTTGCCCGTCGGTTCGTCTGCTAACCATTGCTATGCGCTCATGTTTCGATATAACACAGGTGGCGGTGGCTAACGTTTCAACGTTTTTGTAATAAGTTAATCGGATTTCGTGGTGACATTGCGAGCATTTTTATTTTACGGTGAATGCACCTGTAGAAGATAGAAGAGTAAGCGCATGAAGTTATAGGAGCGCTAGAACCAGTACGCGCCAAGCCTAATCCACGCTATAGCTATATATATATATATATATATATATATATGCTAGCAACGAGTTTCAACATTTACGCTAGCGGGGATGAATACTTGAATTTATCGCGAGGTGAAATTACTCTTGAAATTTTTAAGCTCGTTCGCAAGCAGACGAAGGTATGTCGTAAGCAGGCGCTTGCTGTCGACGTGTCTGCACTACATATTAGATATGATACGCCAGGAACCGACTATGGGCTCAACACCGTAACTGCATACGTTTAATTTTCTCTGTATATTTTATATTGTAGACGGTCGCCATCAGCTGTCACTCGCACACGAGCATAGATCGGTAGCTTTTAATGAGAATATTTGGTTTTGAGTACGATAGTCTAAACAAAAAGCGTCGAGTTGGCTTCGTTTGTGTACATATTCTCCATGATGGGAAGGGCACGAGGAATCGAGGGAGACTCTAATGGAGGGATGAGGTTGAAGGAACCGGAGGGAAAAAGAAGAAAAAGAATGAGGGGACAAAGAAAGAGAGATAGTGAGAGAGACGGACACAAGACAGTGTGTGAGACAGATAGAGTGAGACAGCGGGGGGGCGGGTCGGGAGGCCAGGGGAGGAGAACGAGAGAGAGCAAGAGTTGTTTTGCGTCCAAGAGGAGAAGAGAAAGAGAGAGTGAGGGTGAAATGAGTGAGAGAGAGAGCATAGAGGCGAAGAGAGAGAGAGGAGAGAGAGAGAGAGAACTAGAGAGGGGTGGAGACATGCCACTGAGCATATATCAGTCCGCAGGGCGAACAGCACTTACATGCTGCTTGTGTTTCTCATTAATTACCGTTAATCATCAGAAGACGCCCTACTTTTATTTCACTGCGGTACTTATGCAGCGTGCAGGCGCAAGCCGAAACGTACGCCCATGCTCACCCAAACCATGTCGTGAACAGTGCAAGATACTCACGAGGTTACAGTGAACGTTGATGTATCATATATCTTCCTTTATATACAGCATTTGTTCGTCGACTACTGGACATACGGATTCGTTGTTGTCATAGAATTTAGTGTACGACATTTTAGAATAAAATGCTGATACGTTGACGCGTGTGCGTTGTTAGTTGTTGTTCTGTCAACATCAATGTTCAGTCACACTGTCTCTCCCGCCTGCTATCCCTCGTATACAGGTGTTCATATAACACTACATATACCGAGTACAGTGGGACTACAGAGCACAACATCAGGATGCGAGCGAGTACAGTATGCTTAGAAGCTAAACGTTAGAACACTCGCGTCATGTTTACCGCGACTATATCACGTTTTATATTTAAGAAGGAAAATGCGCGAACCTGCCTCCGTATCTTGTCGGGTTTGTTCACAGAATCCCAACAAGGGAAAACCTTCCTCGGCAAATCGCACAAAATCAATATCGGGGGGGAAAGTACGCGAGAAGTGTTTAGTAGGACGATCTAGTATGAAGATGCTCTCATCAAGCGTTTCTTCCTCCGGCAGTTTGAAGTAAATACAGCAGCATGTTTGAAGGTGACACGCACGGCAGATCCAGAATGGTGACAGTATGATTGGAGTGACGTAACTCCACACGTAGAATGAAGATAGCATGATAATATAGAGGTGACAGTGTGATTGCGGTGATATATCTTCACGCGTAGAATGAAGATAGCATGATTATAGAGGGGTGACAGTGTGATTGCAGTGACGTATATCCGCGCATAGAACGAAGATAGAATGATTATAGAGGGGTGACAGTACGATTGGATTAGCATTTAGGAGATTTAGCATGTATTCGTGATATTTAGAAAGATGTCACCAGGAGTGAATAATAATGAATCTATAATTATTCACTGCTGATGTCACTATATATGGGGAGAGTGACACACAGCTAGGTTTAGCATGTGATCACCATTACTTGAGGGGTGGCAGTATGGTGAGAGTGATAGGCAACTATGGTCAGCACGCATTCATTGTCATTAGAAAAATGGAAGTATGGTGAGAGTGACAAACAACCACGTTTAGCATTACATGTATTCATTGTCATTAGACGGGTAAACGTACGGTGAGGATGACACACAAACGCGTTTAACGTGTGAATTCATCACATTTAGAGGCATGGCCGTTTGCTGAGAATGACTCACAACCACGTTAGTTTAGGATAGGCACGCCCTGCCTGCTAGCAAGCCGAAGACGTGGGAAATAAGCGAATGCAGCACATAGGCGGCTAAGTGATGCGCCGTGATTCATGTAATGTCATTAAAACAGCAGCGGCTGCATTAACACATCTATTATAGCTGCCCCCGCTTACTTCCATCCCACCTCGTCCGTCGCCGTCCGGACGAAAACATATAACTTTATTCGATTAGAACCTTTCAAGACACACGCACACAGGCGCGCGCACGCACATACAACCAGGCGCGTACATACACACGCGCGCGCAAACCACAGTCACACACACGCACACAAACACACGCGCGCGCGCACACGCGCGCGCGCGCACACACACACCACACACACTCACGCACACAGACGCGCGCACGCACATACAACCACGCACGCGCGCACACACACACACACACAACCACGCACGTACATACGCACGCGCGCGCACTCACAGACAACCACGCACGCACACGCACACATAGCACGTACACACAGGCGCGCGCACGAGCACGCACACACACGCACGCACACACACTCCCAATTAGGCGTATGCATGCGCGTCTACGCGCTGCTAGCACGTCAACGTTGAAAGCGTCGGCAATCACAGTTCAACTTCAGGTTACGCACTCGCGTGAATCTAGAATCGTAGAGGCATCGGATGCACGCGTGTAGATACTCACGTATTTCTTACTGATATTAAATCGTAAATATCGGACCGACTGGCGGGAATAGGGAGTGAGGGGGTAGTGAGAGAGGGGTAGCTGGAGGGGGAACGGAGGTAGGGTAAGAGGTTGAGGGAAGCGGTAAAAGAACGGTATTAGGGCAAGGGGGTAAGCGGACGGGGGTAGCAGAGCTGGGTAATGGGGGTAAAGGGAAGGGGATAAAGGGGTAGGGTTAGAGTTAAAGGGAGGGGCGTAACGGGGGACGGGGTATGTGGCAAGAGGTAAAGGGAAGGGGTAAAGGGACGGGGGTTGGGGTAAAGGCGTAACGGGGGAGGGGTGTGTGGCAAGTGGTAAGGGGAGGCGGTAGCTTTGTTGTTGATAGCGGTGTTGTTGTTGTTGTTTGCGGACGCACGATGTCAGCTCAGACAACCCTCAGCTACGGCTGTTTACGACAACGTCACGGTATCACGTGATGTGTTCCGGTAGACATTTGTGTTTCGAGGGAAATTGGCAGCAGCAATGGAAGCGTCGGTTCACGACATTGCAGAATGTTCAGCAAGATAGAGATATATATTAATGAGAGAGAGAGAGTGAGAGAAAAGGAGAGAGAGAGCTAGAGAAAGAAAGAGAGCGAAGGCGATCCGA